CTAATATGCAAAGAAAAACTGGTATATACAATGGAAAGTGATAGAATACTTGCTAGTGGGATTGTGTAGAGGGAGATTCTCCCTCCACGTCGTCCTCAGGTGGTAGCTCTTGAAGGTTCTCATCAGCAGGAGTGCCTTTTTCTTCAATGGTGAAGGCTTGCCCGAAGACAGTTGGTTTCTTCATTTTCCCCTTGATGTCAAAGTGGAGGATGTTCTCTTTACCCAAATGGAGATCAATCTTTCCTTCTTTCACATTAACAATAGCTCCTGCTGTAGCTAAGAATGGCCTTCCAAGAATCAATGGGTCTTGAGCCTCCTCACCCATCTCAAGCACCACAAAGTCTGTAGGTATCTCATACCTTCCAATCTTCACAGGGAGGTCCTCTAAGATGCCTACAGGGTACTTCACTGAACGATCAGCTAGCACCAGAGAGAGTCTACACTTCTTGTACTGAGTGAATCCAAGCTTCTTTGCAACAGACAAAGGCATCACGCTGACACTAGCTCCCAAATCGCAGAGACATTTTTCAAATACCATAGGTCCAAGAGCACAAGGTAGTGTGAAGCATCCTGGATCCTCTAACTTCTCTGGAACATCAAGCCTCTGGATGATGGCACTGCACTCATGGGTGAGAGTCATCATGCCTTCCATCTCTTTCTTCTTTGCAGCTACAACATCTTTCAGGAACTTACTGTATTGAGGGATCAACATGAAAGCATCAATGATGGGCATTGCAACCTGAGCTTCACTCATTTGCTTCTCAAACAGAGCCTTGTACTTCTCTAGCAGCTGGTTCTTGAATCTACCAGGGAATGGGAGTTTGGGTTCATAGGGGGGAGGAACAGAAGAATTCTTACTTGCTGGAGCAACAACTTCACCATCTTTTACTTTTTCCTTCTCTTCTCCAACCTTTCCTTTACCCTTAGCTTCAGTAATCTTTTCCAGTATCTCTCCATTGATCTTCTCATCAACAATTACAACATCATCATCGAAGTTGATGGCCACCCCCTCACCTAGTTTCTCAGCATCCTTGGTGAGGTTTCTAGGAGGTAACTGTTTACCACTCCTAAGGGTGATTGCTTTGGCCTCCTTGGGGTTTTGGTCAGATTTTCCAGGTAGAGATCCTTGCTGGCGATTCTGGTGAGTGCTCATGGAAGCAAACTGATTCTCTAAATTCTTGACTGTAGAAGCAAGGTATGAGAATTTGTTGTTTAGTTCATTGTAGCTCCCATCAATCTTGGAATGAAGGTTCTTCAACTCGTAACCAACATGCTTCTCACTTCTAGTCTGAGATTCCAAGATTTGTTTCAGTAAGGCATCAGTGTTGCTCTCTTGAGGAGCAGAGGAACCGTGAGAGGGGTTTTGCTGAGGCTGATAACCACTCTGTTTGTTGTTGGGGTAGGATTTCTGTTGGTAGTTGTTGTACTGAAAGTTGGGCTCCTTTTTGTACCAGCTACCATTGTTGTTGATGAAACACAACTCTTCTTTACCTTCCAATCCCTCAACCTCATTCACTGTAGGTGGATTTTCCAGCTTGGAGTGACCAACAGATTTCAGCTGCTCTTGGGTGGCTTTCTCAGCAATGAGTAGGTCGATTTTGTCTTCCAGAGCTTTGATCTCTTTCCTTGTCTGCTTATCATCACCCCTACTGCCTCTGTCATGGTCTCCACTGTAGACTGCGTCACTCTTGACCATGTTGTCAACCAGTTCCTCAGCATCTTCCTCAGACCTTCCCAAGAAGAACCCATTGCTAGCAGTATCCAATTTTGCTCTGTACTTAGGAAGAGAACCTCTGTAGAATGTACTCAGCAAGCTTTCCTTGGAGAAACCATGGTGTGGGCATTGTGCTTGATAACTCTTGAATCTCTCCCATGCTTCGCTGAATCCTTCCAAGTTCTTTTGCTGAAAGCTGGATATCTCATTCCTCAACTTGGCAGTCCTTGAGCTAGAAAAAAATTTCTCCAAGAATGCTCTCTTGCACTCATCCCAGGTAGTGATAGAGTCACTAGGTAAGGACTTCTCCCACTGACGTGCTTTATCCCCCAAAGAGAAAGGGAATAGCTTCAGTTTGAATGCATCCTCAGACACACCATTGGTCTTTGACAAGCCACAGTATCTGTCAAACTTGTCCAAGTGATCAAATGGGTCTTCAACAGGTAACCTATGATACTTGTTATTCTCAATCACGTTGAGGAGTCCTGGTTTCACCGCAAAGTTGTTGGCTTCCACAGCTGGCGCACGGATTCCCAACCTATTGCCGTGAAGGTTTGGGCGGTCATAGGTGCCAATAGGGCGAGCTGGGCGGGCTGGGTGAGCTGGTGGGTCTTGCCCATTGACGTTAACCGGTGGGTCCATGTCCGTATCCAACCTCTGTTGCTGAGCTTGTTGTTCTTCTTGTCTTCTCTGTCTTGCAATCTCTCTTTCAAACGCTCTGATATCTGGAACTCTTGGAACAAGGTTTGTTGTGCCTTTGCTCCTCAAGTTCATACACCTGAAATCCAAAGAGAGATGAAGATAAAGAATCAGTAACAAAATAAAAGAAAAATGACTTAGTCTCAAGCAAGTGACTAAATCTCAATGTTTCAATCTACTTAGAATTTGGCAACGGCGCCAATTTGATATTAAGAGTTTTCAAGGCTCCTAAGACAAATGTTGTAGTATAAGAGATTGTCGAACCAGTTCTGAGGGATTTAAAAGCACTGAGAATACAAGTACTAGCTTAATCTAAGTGCGATCATGTGATTGATTGGTTTTTAAGGTTAACTAAAACTAGAATGCAATAAAAGATATAACTTTGACAAAGAAGATAAAGGAGAACTCATGGGTATAGGGAATTTGACCTTGGGTGATCAAGTTTTGATCTAAGGATGGCAAGCGATCAATTAAACTGTCTACCTTAGGCCTAGATACGATTCTAAACAAGCTCTATGTCTAGATGAATGTTCATTTACTACCATAACTCAAGCATCAAATGTCTTTGGTTGAATATTATGAAAGTAATCATTAAGAATAGATCTATTAGCCATCTTAACACCTTTAACAACAAGTGTCCCTCGTAAAGACTGTTAAAAGCTTAAGAGAGTTGACTCAGACATTTCATCGAACACTTTGTGAGTGGGAAATGTCTAGAGATCAACCTTTGAGTGATCAATTCAAAAGAGGCATTATGGTTACTCTAATAAGCAAGGAACAAGAGAAATCTAACACTAAAACATCCTAAATCTAACCTAATCACCCTTAATCTCTCTAACCCATGAATTCAAAAGGTGATTACTCACTAATCTCCATGATTCCTCTTAAACCCATATTGGATTTCAGATTAATCATGTAGAGATATAGAAAAGAAATCAACAAGAACACAAGATGAAAGCAATGAAATTTTGAATCAAAAGAAGTTTTTTTCTTCAAGAACAAAAGATAATCTGCCTCTGGAGGCTTACAACGTAGTTTTAATTAGGTTTCTGAAACTCAAAGCATAAAAAACGAAAATTGCAAAAAGGTCCTCAAAGTCTTATTTTCGCCACACAAAAGACGCACAGCGGGGTCACAACCCCGCTGCGGCGCTCTTCTCTTGTCCCGTCTCTCAAACGCGAGCGGTCCCCTTACATCCGCTGCCGAGCCTCCTCTGTGGTCTGGAGCGACCCCCTGACTCCGCCCCGGGGGTCCGCTGTGACTATATGCTCAACATGAATAAGAATGCAAGGTTAAAACCAAGTAAATATGCAACATATCAGAAGTGGATAAGATTTACGAAGAGGTAAATAATTTTTTTTTGAATTTCTATTAATTAAAATTATTTATTAATTTTTTTTAACGTTATTAATCTTTTTATTTAAAGGTCGCCCCTAGGAAAAACAGACGTATCGTCGGGATTGGTTCCGTTAACGATGTCCCCACAGCGGCATCTTCTTATGCTCAGGAACAGCACAATGTCACTGCTCAGCTGCGCCCGGAGTTGGAGGCGACGCAATCTCATGTGAGTTCTCTCTCTGATATTCTGGATGTTTTGGCGGATGGAAACCCGAAATTGGCGGAGATGTTGCGTGTGAGATGGGAAAACAGAGGGCTTCCAACCCAACATCATCCACCGTCACAGTCACAGCCGATGACCAACATTGACGAGGAGGAGTTGGCGAGCCGGGAAGACTTCGTTCAGAACTTTAACGAGCACCATATGTAGTTTTATTTTATTTTTAATTGTATATTATGAATTTAAAACTTGAATATTTAGTTATTTATAAAATATTTTGTTATTTCTTTTTTTTATTTATAATTTGGTTTCTTTAATTTTTTAAAAAAAAATATAATTTATATATATTTTAATTAATATTTTTTTAATAAGGAAAAAAAATTTCGAAGTAAATTCCTAGTAATCTTTTCGAAGTAAATTCTTAGTAAGTTTCTCGTAACTCGTTACGAAGAGCTTACGAGGAAATGTGTTACTACGACTTTACGAGGAAATGTGTTACTACGACTTTACTAGGAAACCTGTACGAGGATGTTACAACGAAATACGTATCCACGCGTTTACGACAAAATGTTTCCTCATAAATTAACTAGGAACTTACGAGGAAAAAATGTTTACGATGAACGTGTTACGACAAAATGCGTTTCCTCGTAAGTTCTCAATAAATGGTCCTTTACTAGGAAATTACAAGGCAATGTCGTCCTAGTAAAACTTCTGTTTTCTTGTAGTGGTATTTTACAAAATCCTATCGAGTCCTCTTAACCAAAACAATTAGCTTAGAAGGTCTCTCTAGCTTCTAAGCTAAAGACTCTAGTGTTGAAACCTAGACCCAGACGAACATACAGTACCATAACATAAAATACCTAGCCAAAAGTGCCAAACTGAAGGCATCAATCAAACAATATTTGAGCAAAAGCTCTGGCCGCCAACACCTTTGCCTTTTCGTTCTCTATATCTGAGCACTTCTACTTTAAGTCCTTCAGTTCTTCCTTCTTTTTCTCCAGAAGAGCTTCAATGTCTGAGCACTTCTCCTTAAAAACCTTTAGCTCTTCCTCTAATTCTTTTTCTGCTCTTCATTTCCTCTAATTCCTCTAGTTTAAGCTCCAACCAATCCACCTTGAAGCCTGAACATTTTAGGTTTGTCAATGCTTTTTCTGCTTGGCACAGATCATCAAAGGAGAGGTCTTGCAGTGACTGGCACAGAGTCTTGATTAGGTTGAGGAGGACATTCATGCATGATGTGTTCAGATGTTGGCTCTTTGCTCGAAACTCTAATGCCATGTCTAGGTGTCTTTCAAATAAACGTTTCACAGATTGCACCTGCAGTTAAAAAATGATGAGTAACCCAAATGTTTACATATATCCATAAACAGAACGGTAGAATTTTAAGATATTATTTTACACTGCATAAGATGTATCTCACTGAAAACTGAGAACAGAAAAAAGCACTTCTTGTCTCAAAATCAACAACAACAGCAAAAAAAAAAAAGAAACTTTGAATCTTGATTAACATCTTACCTGTGAAGGAAGAACTTGAAACCCATTGACATCAACACATTCGTTTAATGATGAAGTTTCCTTGTTCAAATGAATAGACACGGGACCATCACTTAGCTTTTTCCTTTTCAGAGTTTGTGTTACCTCTGGAGATTCCTCTGATACATCTGACTTTCCAATAACTTTAAGAACATCTACTTCCACAAAAATCTTGATTTCATCGTTCACAAGAAATCCACTTTTCATGTCATGAAGTTTGGTAAGCATTTCAGGAAAACCCATGAGAATAGTATTTCGATCTAACCAGCGTTGTTTTTCTGTACAATCAAGAAACATAGAACTCAAAGTTTTCACTAACACATAAATAGAAGTACAAATCCTGGTCCGGGGAAAGGAGAATCATAAAATCTGAAACTTTCTTTGGTTCTATCTTAGTCAAGAAAAGAAAAAGAAACATAAAAGTAGTTACCTTATGTTCGGAGAGTTTTTCTAAGTTAAAGAGAAACAAAACTCAACTTACTTGGGTCGGAAGGTCGGAAAGGGTATGGAGCTATCTCAGGCCTCCTGACATAAATCGGATCACCTTTCGTCTTAATTTGTATAACCTACAATATAAGAGATTTGTTTATTTTCAGAAAACTACTTTGTATGTTATTTTTTTATCATTACTATAAAATGAGTCTCACCTCCTTTGCTTCGGTACCAGAAGCGAACTCAACACAGCAACAGCCATCATTTATGCCCCAACAGTCTACAATAACTCGAACATTAGCAACTTCTCCAGCATCTTCAAAGAAGCTGATGTTGTAAATTATGGAGGATACAATGATAAAACTTGCTCCAAATAACAAAAGAGGTATTCAAAGGTACTACTTACATATTTGGTATGTTAACAGTCAATTTTTTTTCTTGGATAAATCGGTAAAGACAGTCTTCGTCCTCGAGGAAGCTTCCTGAATTTTAACAGCCAAGTGTGTTAATAGTAAGACTCGTATGGACAAAAGAACTTCAATTTTATAATAAAAAACAATACCTCAACAAAATCTGGAGTTTCATCAAGTTCTTCCACTGCTACATCTTTTCGCTGAGTATAGCCTTCGTACCTGGAATATAAAAAAAAACATGTGATCTCTCCAAATATACCAAAAAAAACTCAACTGAAAATGTAAATAGTTAAATAACTTACCAAGCCTTGTGGTCTATGCAATACCTAATTAACAAAAATAATAGCATTAATTTATGTAATGGCACCAAAACTCTAGCAATAAGTTATATAAACATATCTTTAAAACAATTTATTTGGGTTGTGAACGCTTTGGAGCTTCCTTAGCAAAAGCTAAATAAATCTGGCGCTTGTTTAAATATTCACTGTTCTTCTTTTCTATCACTTCCAGTATTAAGAAAGAATTTGATCAGTACTCTTTAGTTCAAAATAACTACTTACAGGAAATTTTCATCATACCTATATACATTATAAGTAAAATGATTATCATTATTATTATACAAATACTCTCACCTTCTCGGAATCGAATCCCTTGAGACGGTAGAGACACCGGTTGTCACTTCTTCACCTTTGTCAGAGGAGACTGCGGTTTTAGCGCAAGGCGTCATCGGAACGTAGGAAGAGACGGCGTCCTTGCCGTTTGGTTTCTTAAAAATCGAGTCGGTAGAGCCGGTGGATTTTCTGTTCGAGTTCATCGCGAAACGTATTTGAGAGAGTTTTTCTCATTTGGATCGGAACCATGCTTCGAGAAAAAAAAAACGAAATTGATTGCTTCAGAGATGGGGAGATGTGTCGATTGATCTACAGAGAGTTAGATGAAAAGAAATGAAACGGAAAAGATGAAAGAAATCTGTAGTTTTTAATTAGTCTAGGGTTTCAATATCTTGGGTTAAGTTGGGCAAATGTTCAGAATATTGAGAACCCAATAGCACAAAACATTTTGATTACGTGAGAGAAATAGTGCAATCCCATTGGTGGATTAAATAATCCTACATGGATAGTCTCACAAGGCTTTATATTCACTCTTTAATAGTGTTAGATTTCAGTTATACTATAACTACCCGATTAAATATTTCAGTTATTTGACAATATTTAAATATAATATGCAAGTGATGAAAATTAACAGATGTAACGAATTATAAGTTCTAACTTAAGATTTATTAAAGAGAACTCCACTGAATATAAAATAATATTGAAAATGTGACAGGGTTCAGCTTGCTCATGAGCTATAAAATCTCCTACCTCAACCATAAATCCACATTGATCTACGTAAGAGAAAAATGTCAAACCAGGTTAGTAAACTTTTAGACGATTTATTAATCATCTAAAAAAGGATTAAAGTATATTTAATATACCAACTCAGTACATAAGATGACAAAGACCATGTTTTATCCCACGAAATTTTTAAAAACGTAGAAAGTTGGAACAGTTAATTGGTTATATCATTGAAAACAAAGTTAATTCAGTGAACATCATATTGTATTTGTTCTTTCTGGTTCTTATCCAACCACCAGCATGTAGTATTTTGAAATTGAGTACCTCAATTCAATTTCTTTAGGTAGAAATAGCAAAAATCTTCCTATTTACTAGTACCAAAATATTTCTTAAATATCTCATAAAATAGACCAAGAATGGACTATAAATATGCTGGGATAGACTTTTAAGCCCTGGAGATTATAAATATCAAACTTGATTAGATCATTACCTTGATCATTATGCAACATTGTTATATCTTACCAAACAACAAATATCGTTTTTCATGGATGTAGTTTCTGAAAATAAGTTTTGTCAGGATAATCTAATATGAATAAATAGTTACAACAATACTAAGTCTTGAAAATTCCTCTATACTAATAAATAGTTAGAACAATACTAAGTTTTGTAAGAATAATCTAATATTGTGTTACTGATTATAAGTTTTTACAAATTTCATTCCAGTTTAGATTCAGCTGTTCACTGGAGAGAAAAATCTATTCCATCGAGTGATAACAAAGCTAACATCCGATCGCTTAAGACATTTCCTACTTATTCCTCCAAACATAAACAAATAAATAAACATATTTGCAAATCAATTTAATCTGAATTGCCTCAGAACAATATAGTATGCCCTTACATGTAAGTAGAAATAGAAAAACATATATGATAGCTCAACAATGGTATAGTTCTCCACGAAACTCTCTTTCAAAGCAAAGCAAAGTAAAGAAAATCAAAGGTAAAGTGTAAATAGACCAACCGATAACATAAAGCTTTAATACACTGAATAAAATAGAATAAAAACAGAGGCTTTCTATTAATTTAATTCTAACAAAGAAGTTTTACAAAAGAGACATCTCCCATAATTCATATAAACTTTAAAAAAACAATTGCATTATCGTAAAAAGCCAAAAGATAACAAAAACCTTTGTAAAAATTCCCGCTTTTTAGTAATTGCTTCAGCCACTTTTCTGAAGTTTTCCTTTTTGATCGGAGTTGTACACGCAGTCTCTGTCACCAAATTATCGTCAAGGTGTTTCTCCAAGTTAAAAACTCTTGTTCCTGGGTACGTAAAAGGAGTTAAGGCGATAGCTTCACCTTCCTGGGATCACCCTCTTGACAACATAAGGGAACCATGTAATTCATTTCAAAAATGTACAGAAAACCTATAAGACACCTTGCAACTGACTTGAGCTTATACTACTTATGTAACATGAACTTTACCTCTGGTGCATCTGAAATAACAGAGTTTCCGAGCGACAAAGTGTTCATTGCTTCCTACAATTTATAAACACATTACAAACCATATTATAATCGTAATGAAAATTAAAATGAGATAAAGATATATGCAACGATACAACCTTTGGATGATTTAACTTGTCAAACTCATTAATCAAATCAATGTTGGTGGGTATAATCAGGACTTTATATGTGCCATTATTGTAAAGAAAATTCTCTCTTTTAATGCCAATCTTGAATAGATAGGTTTTACCAACTAAATCTTTGAGTGCCAAAGGAATATCATATGGGTAATGCTCTGTAAACAAAACATGTAGGTTACTAAAAGGCATAATAGAACAAATAGTAGTCAGTTTTGAAAATGATAAAACTTGACTTACCTCGAATAATAGAAATTTTACATTCTCAGTGTTTTCTAGCACAACCAAGTTCAACTTGTATCTAAAATATGGAGAAAGATTAATAATATTAACAATTGCATAATCATCCTCAGTCTAAAACAATGACATAAATTTTTGTAATAAATAATTATTACCTTGACATCAACTTTGGTTTCTTCACCTTGCATTCGATACAATAATAACTGAATCCCACTTGATTTGCATCTTCTCCATCATTGATGATGTCATTATGCACATTCAATACTCTTTTGGAACACACTTTGCAACTCAAGTGATACCAGCCCATATCTGAATCAATAGCTGCTATCGTGCACATGACAATACACTTCTCAACCTATATGAATAGACTTAATCAAAAACATATCTAACATGTTTGATATAGTATCAAATATATAGAGCTGTTTTGAATATCTATTTAAATTGTATAAAACAGTAACAACGAACCTTGTTTGATTCAACCAACTGAGATATGGTCTTCCTAGGAGTGTCACAAGAAAACCATCTTCGAAGTGGTTTCAAATCAGACACAGAAGTTATCGCAATCATAATTCTTCGAAAAATAGTTTCAAAGGTATTGGTTTTTTCTGATGTTGTAGAGCTATGAATATGAAATTTCATGTCGTCCTTATATATAGAGGCTACAGAATCTCTGTGTATTTATTAGTAAGATATACAGAGATACACTTTTTAATTATATATCAATAATAATAATATAAATATTTTAAGCTAACATTATAATATCGTGTGTACATTTCATTATTAGATTTACAGTAGACCCTATCAATAAGGATCAAGTATATTTCTATATATGTAACAAATAATTTCTTGGAAATTACTCTAATATTTATTGCTCATAAGTTCGAGACTATGAGACACTTCTATTAATTAGTGAGACTTATGAGCTTCATATATTCCGATCGGAAAAATTTTGGAAGGTTTCTTCAATAAAGTTAAGACGCTTTTTAGTTATTGATTATAGGGGATATTATACGTATAGTAGTGATACATAAATTATTGCTATGTGCATGAAGTTAATCTGAAAAAAACAGTGCATGAAGTTAACCTGATACAAAACCTTAGAGTAATGTTAAACAAAATGCGTTATTGTTACGTGCCTAGAGTTAATATGATACAAAACCTTGGAGTAATGTTCTCCAATTGCATTCCAAAAATTAAGGCATCCTATATAGAGTGTTTGGGTATATTGATTTGACTCTAGAGTTGCAATGTAGAGTGTTTACTTTGAAGTATTCTGTCCAGCCTACATCATGCACCTCTACCTCTGGGAACTGAAGCTTTGTCAAAGTATCAGAATGTTAGTTCTGCTCAATAGATTATGGATAATGTCGCACAAGAAGTACCCAACTTTGGAACTGAGCAGATAATTGTTTTATTCCTCTTTATGTGTTTTTCTTATGCTTCTAGTAAGTACAATTAGTTTTTGTTTCTATGTCTAGGATAAAGCTTTGTCGTTTCCATTTAAAGACTTGACGTTGTTGGTTTGGGAAGCGTTGTAGCAGAGGGTTCATCCATCTCTCCCTTTATAACCTTCTCTGGATTCTCCGCTGCACCTATCAAATATTCCATCAAGCTATCAGCCTCAACCATCTCATCTTC